CTCTCTCTCTCTCTCTCTCTCTCTCTCTCACACGTTGCAGCACTCTTTCATGCACATTCCAGCTCTCTCTCATGTGCTTCAGCTCTCTCTCACGTGAGTGCTCCAACTCTCTCTCACGCATGCTCCAGCCCACGCGTGCATGCTCCAGACCTCTCTCATACGTGCGTGATCCAGCCCCTCATCTCCATCTCACTACTGCACGCACGTTCCTCTCTCCAGCTCTCTCTTTATGTCTTGGATGCTCAGACAGTGAATTTTATATCTGTCCATCTTCGAATTTTGGGTTCTTCTGCCCATCTCATCTTATTAAATATACTATGCTGTATTTAAACCATATAGCTCAGAGTGGATGAGGCTGCCAGCCAGGGCTACAGTTCCATTTAGCCAGTAATTTTTCAAGTGTCTTCATGTCCCTGCTGGTTGTTGGGTTGAAGACCCCAGAAGGAGAAAACGGAGCGAGAAAATCTGAGACACATGTCCTTTCCTTGGGAGCTTTGCTTCTGAACCCAGACCACAATACACGGATTATTAGAGCCCGGGCAGACAGAATGACACTTATTCACCGATTTTCATATCAAGACACAAGTGTTCCTTCTTGATTATATGGGTGTTATGCTGTTGTAGTGGCAGCCAACAGTTCTGGTGAGTTTGAAATTCACTGGGAGACGGTGACTGCATATTTAAAGTGGAATTGTTTTTTCTATAAGCAAGAACACTTCTATATGGTGGTGGATGGACATTAATTTAACACCTTTTTGTATAATCTTTCAGCTTGGTTTGCACCATTTATTTATATGGACATTTATCTTTGACAATGTATATTATCAATTATATTTTAATTATTTTATTATTTGTTTAGTGCCGCACTTCACATTTGCATAATCCATATACTGTATACCATAATATAAAACAAATAAAAAATACAGCATGACAAATGGGCAGAGATGATCGCATCGCTGTAAAAACTGTAGCTGCTGACTTTTAAAATACAGACACTTACCTATCCCTTGGTCCAGCGGTGTCCTCACAACTGCCGGTTTTACCTCCCTGGTGCCGGCATCTTTAGTGTGGGCACCCGGCTGTGACAGCTTGTGGCTTCACTGCCGGGTGCCCACTGTGGCAGGCGCAGCACCCTTTGGTGCCTAGTGCGCTGTGGCATTAGAAAAATTATGCAATAGCTGTTTCTTTGTTGGATTAGACTGACTTTACTCTGTAATTCCTCCAATGCCGCTCTATGGATGCAGTAGGTTTAAAGAGCACACCGAATACTTTAGTTAACTTCTTTAATAACTTCAATCTTCTTCATATAACTGCTTACAATGGCTTGTTTCATTTATCATACAGTAGCTTATTTCTTTCATATTACAGTGGTTTGATTTGATAGCTTATCTCGATAGATTCATTAGATTCGATAAATTCGATAGGTTCGATTATGATTACTCTACAGTGACTTGATTCTTTAAATTCGATAGGTTCGTAAGTTCGATAAGTTTGTAAATTCGGTGGAACTAAAGTAAACACATACAACATTTTTAGACATAGATCTACCTGCACTGTTAAACAATAGAGGAACACACAAGTGCATTAAATACCTATTTGGCCTTCTCTGCTTCCATAAAGCTTTTCTGATTGGAACTGTCTGTTTCCTCTTCTGTCTGGTGAGCATGTGTCTCTAGAAAATCCTAGCAGGGAGTTTTACACAGGCACAAATGTGAAACTGGCTGGGATTGGTTAAGGCTCTGTACAGTGTGAGGCTGTCTGTGATTGGCTCATCTTTAACTAACTCTTAAAGGCATATTTTCCTTTTCTGCTTCTGCTAACACAATGAATATATAAATGTCATATAACAATCAAAGACATAAGTTACAGCAATGATTTTGCTTTTGGCTTTAACATGTGCCCATATACACTGTACTGAGGTTATTGGCAGGTTTGGTATACACATATATGTGAACCATATTAACAACCTAGGACTGGTCTTAGCTGGCCAGCTACACCCACTGCGCATGTGCGAGAAGCGCTGAGCTTTGTGAATGGACCTGTAGTCTTCTGGGACCTATTATGTGTTCCAAAAGGCTCTGTTATGTGTCCCAAAAGGCTACGGGAGGGAGGAGGGGAGGACAACTTCCGCTTCCGATCGCCTAGGAGATTGCAGTGGGAGCGGGTACCTGTCAAATTCGGGTACCCGCTCCCCCCCTGCTCTCCAAAGGTGCCAGTCTTTAATAGGGAGCAGGGGACAAAGGCTTAAAGCGGAACTTCCCCTTTTGGGTGGAGCTCTGCTTTAAAGTGATAATATACCCTTCATTTTTAAGTACTTTCAGCAGCTCATTTTCACACAGTTATTATGCAGCTTCTTTTCCTTTTAATCCTTGCCTATGTTCCAGTTTCTCTCTCATGCACACTCCAGCTCTCTCTCTCTCTCTTATGCGCGCTCCAGCTCTTTTTCACGTACACTCCAGCTCTCTCTTGGGTATGCTCCATCTCTCTCTCGGGTGCACTCCAGCTCTCTGAGGCTTGCTCTAGCTCTCTCTCGGGCGTGCTCCAGCTCTCGCGTGTGCTCCAGCTCTCTCTCACGCAGGGGCAGACTGACAACTCATGGGGCCCCCGGGCAATAGGGGATCATGGGGCCCGTGTCCTTGCACACACTCAAACCACACCCAAAAAAGCCTATGAAAGGTACCAGGGACATCTCATGGGGCCCCCTACTGACCCCGGGCCCTCGGGCAGTGCCCGAGTACCCGAATGGTCAGTCCGCCCCTGCTCTCATGCATGCTCCCAACTCTTTTTCACTCTTCTCCGTCCTTTTGCGGCAAGAAGAAGTTCCTTTTGTCTGCAGCCTGGGAAAATACAGCTCCTCTTGCTTCCTCCTAGCAGTCTCTCTCTGGGAACTGTAGTCCGCCTGTCTTTTGACATTCATAGCAGGGTTCCTCTTCCAAACTATATCTCCCACTGTCAGGGCTCCCGGGTATGACCAGAGGTGTGTGACTGACGCAGGGAAACGCAGACTTCAGATATGTTATAAACAATGTAATTTATTAACACTAACCATACAAACATAAACGCAGTGCAATACTAAAACATAACATAGTGCAAACAAACCAACCAACCACCCACAGATAACAGTACATACAATGCAAGCGTCGTCAGGCAGGCCGGGTCAATATCAGTCGGGCAGGTAGGTACAGGGGGAGCAAGCGGAGAATGGTCGGGGTCACAGACCAGGTTCAGCAGGTAGTGGGCAGCGTGGTACAGAGGGTCAGGCAGAGCAGAATGGTCAGACAAGCCAGGGATCAGAGCAGGGTCAGCAGAGAATCAGACAGGAACAGAGAGCAGGAACAGGATACAGGGCCCAAGAGAAACACAACACCAAGGCTGAGTCTGCAGGTCTGAATGTCCCTTAAATACACCAGTATAATTAGTTCCAGGTGTTTGACTGGCTGCAAGGTTGAGTCTCTGATTGCTGGGAGCACCCGCTGGCCAGCCCTGGTACTGCAGCTCATAAGGCAGCTGAGTCCCACTATTGCTGGCCAGTCCATTCCTGACAGTACCCCCCCCTCAAGGAGCGGCCTCAGGACGCTCCAAACAGTCCTAGCTGGGCAAAATATTCCACCGCCCGGGTCTGGTAACTGGCGGGATATCAAAGACTGGCACACCGGGCAGGACTCCGGGCAGCGGCACACCGGGCAGAGGCACATCGGGCTGGACTCCGGGCAGAGGGCACACTCGGGCTGGACTCCGGGCAGGCACATCGGGCTGGACTCCGGGCAGAGGCACATCGGGGCTGGACTCCGGGCAGAGGCACATCGGGCTGGACTCCGGGCAGAGGCACATCGGGCTGGACTCCGGGCAGAGGCACATCGGGCTGGACTCCGGGCAGAGGCACATCGGGCAGAGGCACACCGGGCAGGACTCCGGGCAGAGGCACATCGGGCAGGACTCCGGGCAGAGGCACATCGGGCAGGACTCCGGGCAGAGGCACATCGGATTACCAGGCGAAGCAGCAGGCAGCGGGGCCACCAGGCGGAGCAGCAGGCACCGGGCCCCGGGCGGGGGCAGCAGGCACCGGGCCCCCGGGCGGAGCAGCAGGCACCGGGCCCCCGGGCGGAGCAGCAGGCACCGGGCCCCCGGGCGGGGCGACCGGGCACCGGGCCCCCGGGCGGGGCGACCGGGCACCGGGCCCCGAGGCGGGGCGGCGGGCGCCGGGCCCGGGAGGGGCGGCGGGGGGCCCCCAGGAGGGGCGACGGGCGCGGGGCCCCCAGGCGGAGGGCGGGGCGGCGCCGGCCCGCAGGCGGGGCGACGGGCGCCGGGCCCCCAGGCGGGGCGACGGGCATCGGGCCCCCAGGCGGGGCGACGGGCGTCGGGCCCCCAGGCGGGGCGGCGGGCGCCGTACCCCCCAGGCGGAGCGAGCGACAGGTCTCGGGCCCCCAGGCGGGGCGGCGGGCGCCGGACCCCCAGGCGGAGCGACAGGGCTCGGGCCCCCCAGGGGGGCGGCGGGCGCCGGAGGTCTCCCCCAGGCGGAGCGACAGGTCTCGGACCCCCAGGCGGAGCGACAGGTCTCGGGCCCCCAGGCGGGGCGGCGGGCGCCGGACCCCCCCCAGGCGGAGCGGCGGGCGCCGGACCCCCAGGCGGAGCGACAGGTCTCAGGCCCCCAGGCGAAGCGGCGGGCACCGAGTCACCAGGCACGACAGTGGGCTCAGAGTCAACTGGCATGACCGCTGGCACTGGGTCAGACATTGGATCGTCTGGCTGGACAGCGGGCATCGGGTCACCAGGCATCAGGTCATTTGGCTCGACAGCGGGCACCGCGTCATCTGGCAAGGCAGTGGGCTCCTAGTCAACTGGTATGACCGCGGGCACTGGGTCAGACATTGGATCGTCTGACTGGACAGCGGGCATCGGGTCACCAGGCATCAAGTCATTTGACTCGACAGCGAGCACCGCGTCATCTGGCAAGGCAGTGGGCTCCGAGTCAACAGGCACGACAGTGGGCACCGGGTCATCAGGTACCGGATTGTCTGGCTCGACAGCGGGCATCGGGTCACCAGGTATGACAGCGGGCACTGGGTCACCAGGCATCAGGTCAGTTGGCTTGCCAGCGGGCTCCGCGTCATCTGGCAAGGCAGTGGGCATCGGGTCACCAGGCATTGGATCGTCTGGCTCGACAGCGGGCATTGGGTCACCAGGTATGAGAGCGGGCACTGGGTCACCAGGCATCAGGTCATTTGGCTTGCCAGCGGGCACCGCGTCATCTGGCAAGGCAGTGGGCACCGGGTCACCAGGCATTGGATCGTCTGGCTCGACAGCGGGCATCGGGGTCACCAGGTATGACAGCGGGCACTGGGTCACCAGGCATCAGGTCATTTGGCTCGCCAGCGGGCACCGCGTCATCTGGCAAGGCAGTGGGCACCGGGTCACCAGGTACGACAGCAGGGCTCTGAGTCAATTGGCACGACAGCGGGCACCGGATCAGGTACCGGATCATCTGGATCAACAGCGGGCATCGAGTCAACTGGCCTAATAGGATCGTCAGGCTGGATCAGTTCACCATGCTGAGTAGAGGCATCAGGCTGAATGCCGGCGTCCGGCCGAGTAGAGGCTTCAGGCCGCGCAGAGGCATCAGGCCGCGTAGAGGCTTCAGGCTGAACCACGGAAGGCAGGTTCACCGGTTTGGATACTGGCAGGATGGTATCGGTTGGAAAGAATTTTCGCTTTTTTCTGGTTTTAACTACTGGAGCACTGCAAGTAAACGCAGGTCTGCAAATGAATGGAGCAGCTGGAGACAGAAGAGCTGGAGGATGGAACAGGAGAGGGAGCGGTTGCTACAGAGGGCTTTTTTACAGGGTTAAAGGCAGGATAGGTGCAGCGAGTGGGAACGGGGGTACTGACATGCGGTAGATAGCAGGGCAGGAGGAGCTGTTGGGAATGCAGGAATAGAGTTTTGAGGGAAATAGATTAGAAGCAGGACTGGGTTTTTGTAAGCTGACTGAGGCTGGGTGCAACAAGTCTGTCCATGTCTGCAGTATGGGTTGAACAAAGCTGAGCTTACACAAAGCCTGTCTGACCAAAGACTGCACTGCGTTTATACAATCTTAGTGTCTGTGGTGAACATGTGGAATAACGCTCCAGAAAGTAACCCACATCATCCTCTAATAACCACACCAGGGACTCTACCTGGTCTGCACTAAATGGCGGCAAAAATTCATCCCTGCATTCAGGGGAACCAGATGAAACCAACTCAGCACAAACCTCAATCAATGGCTGCACCTCAGAGAACTCTGTGCCCTGATCTACTAGAACATGAGCAAGCCGTATACATTCTAGCAGTTCATCCCGGGTATACTCCTTCAGAGTTTGATAAGCATACTCCCTGTCATCAAACACTAGCAGATATAAATCCGCAACCTCATCCAGATCCATCCTTCCCATCAACAAGCCAAGATGGCTTCCCTGTGCAGCCACTTCTGGTCAGGATTGGCCTTGGTGTAATGTCAGGGCTCCCGGGTATGACCAGAGGTGTGACTGACGCAGGGAAACGCAGACTTCAGATATGTTATAAACAATGTAATTATATTAACACTAACCATACAAACATAAACGCAGTGCAATACTAAAACATAACACAGTGTAAACAAACCAACCAACCACCCACAGATAACAGTACATACAATGCAAGCGTCGTCAGGCAGGCCGGGTCAATATCAGTCGGGCAGGTAGGTACAGGGGGAGCAAGCGGAGAATGGTCGGGGTCACAGACCAGGTTCAGCAGGTAGCTGGGGGGCAGCGTGGTACAGAGGTCAGGCAGAGGAGAATGGTCAGACAAGCCAGGGATCAGAGCAGGGTCAGCAGAGAATCGGACAGGAACAGAGAGCAGGAACAGTATACAGGGCCCAAGAGAAACACAACACCAAGGCTGAGTCTGCAGGTCTGAATGTCCCTTAAATACACCAGTATAATTAGTTCCAGGTGTTTGACTGGCTGCAAGGTTGAGTCTCTGATTGCTGGGAGCACCCGCTGACCAGCCCTGGTACTGCAGCTCATAAGGCAGCTGAGTCCCACTATTGCTGGCCAGTCCATTCCTGACACCCACAGTCCAGTGTGTCCTCTACTAGAGTCTCTCACATTCTTTATGCTTGTAGTCTCCCCACTCTGGGGCATATAGTATTACTGAATTCAGCATGACAGTCCGGTGAGAACACAGAGCAATTGCAGCACAGTGTCCTAAATGGCTCTTGCCAGGCACCTGGCTGCACTTGTCTCTTTTATATGGATTTTCATTACGGCATTGTACGGACTTTCTTGCAGAACCATGAAAACAATTCACCTTTTTATGGTTGAGTAAAAGCTTTTAATGCTGTGCCCTGAACAAAGACCACTGTCATTCAGTGTGTGAGGATATCAGAAACTGGGTTGCATTTTAGCAACACAGTTGTTATAAAGTAAACAGATACTGTAACACATTTTACTTGCAGCTCTGCGGTCCTTGGCCTGATTCGAACTAATGTTACCAAGTGATTCAAGTTTATATGTTCTTCTTGTGTATATGTGGACTTTCTGAATGCTTCACTATTGTTTGAAAAAAAAAATAGAATCGGCTATATATATATATTGTGTGTGTGTGTGTGTGTGTGTGTGTGTGTGTGTATATGTGTGTATATGTGTGTGTGTGTATATATATATATATTATATAGAAAGCTGGAGTAGAGTGGGCAGCCAGGCTGTATTGTTTAACCACATTCAAGAAAATGAGGACACTGACAAGGCGGTGCTGTCTGGCAAGACTATGCAAATCAGGACACTGACTGCACAGAATGCTTTGGCTGGTGGGTTTTCATCTTTCGATTTAATGCTTAATTTTTGGCATCTGTGTTTTTTAAAACAGTCTCCAATACTTTAGTTTGTTTAGAAATAGTATTTTTTTTTAATTAAATATACATTATCCAAGGGGTACTCATCACATGTTCAACACACGTGAATATAATATGGACATGTTGCTGATATCTTCTGTATTTTTCCTATTTATATACTAGACTAACGTCTTCAGCTGCATTCCAAAGGTGCTTCTGGCTTCTGTGTGTTTACACCTTTGTGGTTTTATGTGCTTTATAGAATGCACAAAAACATGTCATAAAATATATTGAATCCAATGGTAGTTTGTATCTGTGCACTGCATTAGTAAAAATGAAGCATGTCTGATTTTCTGTGGATTTACATCTGCTGTGCTATTCCCAATAAAATAATAAGGATACTTTAATGTATTATTAAAACTTATTTGAAAATTTAAATATTAATAAATACTAATTTAAAATAGTGAAAATGATTGAAAATGCAGTACAATTCAAACTAGAAAAATAGACCAATAAAAGGGATAATAGCAAACACAGGTAGATTTGAATCTGGTCTTATAGAGGAGGGGACTGCCTCCAAGCGAGCTCTTGGATTACTACTAATAGCCCATAGCTGGGGGGGCAGTTTAAGTTAGGGACCACACTGTACAGAGGTCCCTTGGCATGGCACTATGGCTTCAACATGTATTTAAAAACATATGTAACAGAATCCTCTGCTTTTAACCTGAGTAGTTGAGACAGTTTTTAATATAGCTTTTTTTTTTTTTTTTTTTTTTTTTTTGGTTGACCACCTTAAAAGGGGTGCCGAGGACCCCTTTTTAGAGAACTGTATATTGCTCTGCCCATGTGTACCATTTTGCTCATTCCAAATTGAACAGCTGCCATGGTTACTTTTCTGTATGTATACTAAATGTATTCTATTATGTTTAAATGTATTGAAATGTATTGAAATTCATTTCATGAGAAGCAACCAAATCAAAAAAATGCAGAGGACTGTGTCCATATGCATAGTAGCTGAATGAATTGCAAGCAGACACATAATAGTAGTAAACCATGCGTGTGGCCCAATTTCCTAATGGGAATGAATGGCTTTTATTTGAAAAGTCTGTCCACTAAATGTAGTCTTAACTATACATGGAAGCTGATGGATTCAGTCCCTGACTGTTTATATGTCTTGTATACTCAGTGAGATCTTTCTGACATAATTCCAATTCTATACCCGTCCACCTTCAGATTTTGACTGCCTCGGACCACCTCATCCTATTAACTGTCATATATAAGCCATATACTGTATAATATATGTATGTATATGTGTGTGTGTGTGTGTGTGTGTATGTATGTATATATATATATATATATATATATATATATATATCATAATCTAAAACAAATAACGCATACAGCATGACAAGTGGGCAGAGAGATGACTCCACTGTATTCCTTAAAGTGACATTAAACCCTCAAATAAAGTGGAAATACTTGTGAGCTATAATGTGATATTCCCTAATTATAAAATAATTAATAAATAATCAATTAAATCACCTTAATCATTATTATTATAAATTAATAGTGCAGCAACAACATACACCTACTCATAAATAGTGCATTAAAAATGTAAATATAATCATATATGTCGCGCTCTACAGTGTGCTTCTGAATTCCTAAACCATATTGCCATGTAATATACAAAATGTGAAATGCAAAATTAATTAAAACGCAAGAAGTAAAACGTGCTGAAAAAGTGCTTCAAACAGTGCAAAACTGTGTGAAAGTGCATATCAAAACATAATAGTCCACTCTGTGCTTTCAATTTTAGCAATGTGCAATACTGTGCCGTGATCCACTCTGTGTCAAATAATGGGTGTCCGCTCACCTCCTGTATTAGCCAAACTATTAGTATGGCTAATAACACTTTTTGTCCTTAATAGGACTAGGTGGTATTTTCCATATAGAACAGATATAATCCTTCTGTAGATGGATGTATTGTAGTACCAGCTTCCTCCCACTAGGGATCTCCCTCTCTCCTCTCCAAGACCACTCTGCCTTAGTGGGTGGATGGGGGAACAGATATCCCTCTTACTGTGTGGATCTAGTAGCTGACTCCACCTCTCGGTATAATGCCGTGTCATGCAAGAGGAAACGATAATAGTGCCTTATCCTTTATAAACAATGTAGCTTTATTTTATATAATGCGCACTCACATGTAACAATCCATAAAAGAGCAGTGTATAATACCAGGTCCACTGTCTATACTCGCCGTATCTCGTAATGGCGTCGTGACGTCAGAGCCCCTTCCCTACGCGTTACGCCACAGGGTCACATGGCTTCCTCAGGGGAAACTTTCATTAGCCGATTTGATTTTTCTCACATACTGAGTATTCAGCGTCTTTTCCTTTTAATCCTTGCCTATGTTCCAGTTTAAATTGGTGCCACGGTCAATGCCTCAGGTTTCCTGTGTCAGGGTGGCTCCTTTCTTTTGCAGTGTCCTATGGAGCTGCCTTTGGATGCCTGGACTGTAGTTGTATCTCCCTATTCTGTGTACATCAATAGAAACACACAGCCCTATAGCCTAGGATGGTAAGGTACTCCCCTGCCTCCTCCCTCCTTCTCCCCCCTTCATTCTCCAAACTAATAGACTGACTGGAGACTGCACTGTCCACTGTTTCCT